CCCAAGTGCCATGATGAGTCTGGGAACCTTCACCCTTTCCACAAAACACGAACAAAATCTGACCCCCCATTATGGTAGACGTTGTCATTATTATAATTTTTTTTGTTACATGGCATCGCAAGCACTTCTGCCTCTAGTATGAAATGCTGTAGCTCATGTACCTTTGAGAAAAAATTATAGGATCAGTCATCTTGGGACTGGCCTGTAGATATTAAGATACTAGTTTGAAAATTCATACCCCCGCAAAGGCCCATTCCTTAATGGTGGGCTTAATAACAAATGAAGTCTGAAAATGGTGTTCAGACAGTGTACTGTCTTCTACATCAGCTTTTAAAACAAATCACATGATTTTTTAAAGTCATTGTAAAGTGACTCTCTTCCACTTCCTCCACCATATTACTCTAATGTCTCTTGGGAAATACAGCATCAGCATTGCAGTGCTGCTCAGAGCTAGTGATGCAGGTAGCCTGATTTGACACCTCTGGTGCCAATAGTAAAATATCTTGGATGTCAGTGCCGGCAGGATATTTAGAAGGTTGATATAGGAAAGCAAAACTGAAAATCTGTCCCTAAAGCTGTGGTTTGGCTGTGAGACTCCCCAGCCCCTGTTGCTTTCCTTGGATCATAGCTCTGACTCCACCTCAGGTTTGCTGCTGTCCCTGCTAATTTCCCTCTCTCTGTTTAAAGAGGATGCACTGATACAGATTATTACTGCATTACAGTCCATATGAGAGGCAAATCACTGACCTCTATGCATGAGAACAAATCCCTTAGGTGACACAGCTGTTTCATAGCAGTGGCTGTCTTGGAGCACTCTGATGGCGTATGCATTGCCCTGAGAGAGACAGGGCACTACTGAGTGAAAGGCAGCTCCTCCTCTTCTGAGTGCTGCAGATCTCAGCAGGCACAAATTAGGATCTCTTGGACAGACTCACTCCCTGTTTACACCAGCTGCATGTGAAGAGAATACATTAAGGGCTATTTCTTGAGCAGGATGAAATGGGCTGCCTCACATCCTGACAGACAGGAGGAGGGAGAACTGCAACATGCTCAACTTGCAACAGTACGGATTTCCTTATGTGCCGTCCTCACTTGTTATTGAACCCACCTGCTCTCCTGGGGAGCAGTAGCCTTTCCTGGGTTCGATCTAACTGATAGCTAAGGTAGCATAGACCAAAATGATCACATCTGACAGCACCTTAGTAATAAGACTCTGGCAGCACAAAGGCAAAAGCAACTGAATCTCCTCAACTTTGAATCTGTCCAATTTAGAACTTTTCTGGAGTTTGTCAGGCATCATTTGTGCCTCTTTTACACGTCTCATTTCTCTTATGCACGGCCAGGGCAGGTAAGATGTGGTGAATATGCAGGGCAGACCTCTGGGACCCATCTGCCTCCAGTTTGATGGTTCCTGGGAGCTGTGGTCAGGCAGCAGGCAATGAAGCAGGTTCTAGTTTGTGCTATGTGACTGTTGCACCAAGCAAAACCCAGGCACGGGCTAGTAAATCATATTTCAAGGTGACCAAAATATAACTTCTGGGTCCCCCAAGGTTCTGTGTCACTATTGGTTTTAATGAATGGTCTAAAAGGGGATTGTAGGCAGCAAATGTGACGGTGGCATAAAATGATTAAGAGAAATAAAAGCTGGAAGAGAAATGACAAAATCAAGAGGGACCTAATAAAGCTGAATAAATGGGCAATGCAGCACCAAATGAAACACAGCATTGCAAGAAAATTTATGCCAGAAAGAATGATGTTAACTCTTTTTATGCATTCTTGAGTTCTGCATTTTTCTCTGAAAAGATCTGGGCTCTTGACAGACAGCTTAAAGAACACTGCTACTCAGAGCATAGATGTGATGACCAATGCAGTGTAAGAGATGGCAGGTCACGCAATCTACCTAGAGAGGACAGAGGTGGGTGGTAGGAAGGGAAAAGGAAAACATCAGAGACTGTAGTGTTTGCCTATGGTCACTCATAAACCCAAATGTAGAACCCAGGGCTTGGGAATGTCACGCCTAGAGCCAGACTCTGAACCACACGGATAAATCCCCAGAGACCAGGCCATTCACTGGGAGAGAAGCACCTCCAGAGGGCCATAGCATCATACAGATGGCCAAGGCAGGGGGCATGAATCACTCTTTGTCTAGCTCTGTTAGTTAGAGGGAGAGCTTAGATGGGTTGTTTAGGCCATATGCTCATTTTTTAAGTGTCTGGGATTAGTAAAATGACTTACACCCCCTGCTATTTTTCCCTCTGAACCATTTATTTTCAGCCACAGCTGAGACTCGGGGATTGTTCCTGGATGATAAGTCCTTTTGTTTTTTTCCTGAGAACTGGCAGCTGTGGAAAAAAGATGTCATCAGAGGAATAAGATTAAATAAGTGTGATAAAAGCTCTATGCACCCTGACTGGCTTTGGAGGACAGGGGGACTGGGGACACTGGTGCGGGCATATGGGATCTTGTCTCTGACATTTCTGCTCTTACACCAGGGCAATGGATAGAGTGTGGGTCCCACGCAGGACTGGGGCTATCACTTGGAGATGTCTGCTGGTGTGGCAGAGCCCAGTCCCTCCAACACGGCAGGCTGAGCTCCCTGGCTGTAACCCAGTAGCAGGTTTTGTGTAGTGCTGCAAATGTTCATGCACAGTGCCAGGCCTGGCCTTGAGGAGCCCCAGGGCAGGAGGCTGAGGACCTGCGTGATCAGTGCGTTTGTTTCACTGCCAGCCTGTGGCACCATACATTTCCTTTGGGCTTAGTCTTCTCCCCTCTTCTACTATGGGCCAGGCCTGCTGAGCCCTAATGTGTCCATAAATGGATCCCTTTTATATCTCATCAGTAAAAACAGAGCGTTCTGCAATTTTGTTTGTGGGAGGGTGATAGATGCAAGTGTTGGTTGTTTGCATAGAGATTTCACAGACTGCAAAAACACTGTCACCTGTTCTATAAAATGGAAAAAAAAAAAAAAAGCCAGGCTGCCAAGTGCCTACTAAACACCAGCTGGTAAGTGTCACAGCATCAAGCTGTCCAGCTATTGACTATGCTCACAAGTGAGGCAAACCTGAGGATAATCAGGTAGGCTAATGGTGACATGCAGCTTAGGAAAGTGGGTTCAGAGCCTGCTTTCCCTGCAGGGTCCCCTGTGGTGCGAGTACAGGCACCTAACAAAATGCTGTCGGTCCTTCCCCGCCGTGTGACACACAGCCCGGGAAGCTGGTCTCAGCTGCTGCATAGCCTGTCTTGCAGAAGCCACTGCTGGGGGCTTCTGTGGAGTAAAATCAGACCTTGAAGCAACTTGTCCTGGGAAAACCCTCAGTAAATGTAGTAGGCGTCCTGGGAAAACCCTCACTAACTGTAGTAGGTATCTTCAAGTTGAAGGCAATAGATACTAGACTGAATTTCTACCCCACTTCCTCCCACTCTGCCTACAATGGGAGAAGGAAACCATTGTGGTATCAGGACGTGAAGAACTATCCAGAGGCTTTTTGTTACTGTAGACTGTGACTAAAGGGAGAGACAGTAATAGTTTGAAAATACCAAACCGCAGAGGGACAAAGTAACCTATGTGCATTGCAGGCTTGTATGGCAGCAAGGGATACTTGCCTTATACTTCCCAGGGAAGGCTTTCAGCATTGAATATATTGATGCAGTGGAAGATTGCCTAGAAAGGTTACAGAGCGTTAACAGTTGGGAATTTTAAGAATAAACAGGCATCTGCTTAAATATAAAACTGACGATTAATTCAGGCAAGGAAGTGGTGGAATAGATATCCTATCTATCTTCCCCTCATGCCCTATGTTCTGTGATTCCTGTTGTACCAGGAGGTGAGTAAGCTCTCAGAAGTCCCTCAACAGCAGTTTTGCATCCTGTACACCACTTCCTTGATCATGGTGGTTGCAGGTCTTTGTCTAGTGTTATGTGAGGGTAAGTACTACGGGACGAGTAAAAGAATCATTATCACATAATTTTCAGTGCGCTCTCTGCAATGATGTAAGGCAGGTTCAGGTGATAAGCAGAACCCGTGGCATATTATGTTGGTGAAGGCACAGATTTTTATCGCGTCAGATGAGCAAATGTTTGAGAAGTCACCAAAACTTTTTTACCTTGCTGGCTGCCTGGCTCTCCAGGGGTGCATGACTTTGTATGAGTTGTGGAAATCAGGCTCCTGTCTTAAATTGGTACAGCCTAAGATTAGGCAAAGTCTTTTGTGACATCTGCAACAGAAACCGAGCACAGTATGCACATGGTAAAAGTGTGGTAACTGGGTGGTTATGTCTCCACATCTATTTTCTGGGCAATTTGAGATGGAGAGATTCCTTAGCTAGAAAGAAACCTGCAAATGCCGTTGCAAGACTGTTCTGCTTTCAGAAGCTTTTTGCCAACTTCCATGAAACTTGTGTTAGTCTAATTTCCCTGGGCTTTCCCATTTACACATGCAAACCAGATAAGACTCAGGCTCAGAACTTTGATTGTAGAGTAAGAATGACTATAAATAGATATTGCATGTTACAGTCTGTCATGTCTCTGAAGGCATGAGATTCTGTCAGGGCTGTGTAACTGGTTTCCAACCTTCTCAATGCCCCAGCCATCATGTTTCAAAAAAATCAGCCATGGTTGGAATAGAAAAGTAACTAGTCTGATGGGCTGCACTTGGGCTGATTCACTGCTAAGGGCAGTGTCGAAGTGAACAACAATAAAAGAAGCAGACAATCTGCTCAAATCTGCAAACTGAAGCCTTGTCTCCTTGACACGATGCTGATGAATCATTTTTTCTTGATGTTCAAGGCATGTAAAACCACAGATAAGCACTAACTACTGTGTGCAAAGTAGTCAATAAATTGCCATCAGACTTTCCCTTCTGTTTAACTTTTATTAAAAGAGGTGCTAAGGTACTGTACTGTATGCAGTACATCATATTTATTACCAAAATTAACAAATATACAAAACTTATACATGTAATTTTCTTACATCCATTTATTGGTCTATAATACTGCATTTGTTCAAGTAGGTTATCTACAGTATGTAAACATCCCTTGGATTGACCTCACACAGATTAGGAAAGCCCGTCTAACCCATGTAGTTACCAAATATAGCTTTTTCTTTTTTTAAAATTTATTTGGCTTTCATTGGTAGAATCTAATCTTCACATTTGGCACATGGAAGAGACATCTACAGTGCAAAAGAGGCAGATTTTCTGGTTTTGTTCTGAGCAGTTTAGCGCAGTCATGGTTTTAAAGAGCTGAGAATAAATTTACACAAACTTGATAGGAGATGGATTAGTGTTAACACCAATGACTCATAGATCAGCCATTAAACTAGAGCAGAAATTCAAAGCCTCTTCCCCAGCCCTCTCAGCCAGGTGGAAAAAAAAAAATCCTCAGCCATGTTTCTAAGGGATTAAAAAAGGACTCTGTTAGCAACAGAGAGAGGAGATTTAATTTACAAAGAGTCCTCTGAGATTCCAGTTTCAATTTTCTGTTTTGTGGGATTTTTTTCCTCTTGTTAGCAAGCAATTTTTGTTTCCTTTTTAATGGGGGAAAAATAACCAGTGGGGCACAACTTTTCTGTGCTGGCAATTTCTCAGTGAGTCGGAGATTACAGTTGGAGTTTGGAGTTTATAGTTGGATCTTTGAACCCAGATGTATAGAGCTCAGTAAGCTGCCGTGTACAAGGGAAAGACAAAGGGAGAGAGAGAAAGACAGTAATGTTGTTATATTCCAGACGTGGAGCTTTCCAATTTTGCTGTAAAAAACAGGAAAAAAAACTTTCTTCCTTCTGCTTCTCACTGTTTCAAAAACATGACTTAATTTAACTGAGTAAAGCTGATCCAGAGAGACCTTCATTCACACCCTTCTTCCCATTCTCATCCAAGCACCGTATTGCTATTTTTTTTCAGGAGGCCTCACCCATGTCCATGGAAGCATCTGATGAGAATGGACCTAACCGGACACCGTTTCGCATGGAAACCCCTCTGCTGTTCCTCATCTGTTACCACAGAGCCCCGCTGCTGTCTGTGGCACCATACATCTCGGCCAGCTTTTTGAAGCGTGGCCCCCAGTCCGTCAGGTAGTCATAGCTCTGGTCTGAGTCTGTTGTCACTGACTGTAGGGAGCTGAGCGACTCCGCCACCGAGCCGTTCCCTTCAAACATGTACGTCTGGAGGGAGTCGAAGGGAGGTGCCCACAGGTCCATGTCAGCTTCGTACAGCTTGGCGAGCACGTAGTTGTGGACATTGTTGTCCATGACGCACGCCTGAGGCACGTATCGGGAGAGACTCTCTATTTCAGGGAGCATGTCCTGCCGGTTTTTCACCACCAGCTGGGCCTCCCGCGGGTTCCACATGGCGGCAATATCGAAGGCCTCCGTGTCCTCCTCCCCGCCGCCCTCGTCATCGTACCTGACGATGTTCTCATGGATGTTCTCCTCCTCATCGATGATGTATGGCTGCTTCCGCTGGCGCCGCATGGAGAGGATGAGGAGCACCAGCACTGCAGGAGGCAATCGAGACACAGAGCCGTCAGTGAGGTGGCAGATCTTCCAAGGGCATCAGACTCTCTGCTGCACTATTTTCCCCTTGGTGAGCCCACCCAGTCCCTTGGGTTTAATGAACTGTGGTGTTTGCAGGTGGAGGGGTGTAGAAATCCCCTACGCCCCAGTCAAATTTAGTAGCTTGAGGTCCTGCTAATCTGTCCCTTTTCTCACCTTAATTCTTAACTTTTGGTGACACTAAGGACACGTATATCCAGCGGTGTTTGCAATGCACTGTAGTGATACTTGAGCTACATTTAAGCTAGCCAGACCAGGTACCAGTAACAGTTTACCTGCAGCGGCACACAGCTCCCTAGAGATACTTCTTTCCTGCTGTGTAGCTGCATTTTTCAGCCTGCTTTGGGGATAACTCTTGGGCTGGGCACTGCATGTGACATAGATGGATGGTACTGAGGCACCATGTCGATATGTCTGCCTACACAGCTGTCACTGTTTAAGGCTGGGCTGGCACTTGCAGAGCTCTGCAAAATATAAAGCCAGCCTCTTAGTCTGCTCCAATGCATTTTTTGTTTGTTTATTGGCAATCCTCCTGCAGTGCTGCAGCGCTGGTGCTTCTCATTCTCCCCATGCTTCTTAGCACGGGGAGAAGTGGTCATACAGGCACCAGAGCTCTTTACTATTGAAAATCTGCTGTCACCTGGTGACTGTATTTCCACAGCTAGAACTCAGCAAAGGTTTTGAATGCTGAAATTTTGAACTGCGTATCTAGGCTCCTTTGAAGAGCCAGAACTGAGGCACTTTTAAAGAATTTTTCCTGTTTCTTACTTCACTGCTCCTCAAACTAAGTCTTCTAAAATTTCAGGGAATGCGTGTTTTCAGAGTCACAGAATGGTTGGGATTGGAAGAGACCTCTGGAGATCATCTAGTCCAATCCCCCTGCCAAAGCAGGTTCACCTACAGTAAGTTACACAGGAACGTGTCCAGGTGGGTTTTGAATATCTCCAGAGGAGACTCCACAACCTCTCTGGGCAGCCTGTTCCGGTGCTCTGCCACCCCCAAAGTACAGAAGTTTTTCCTCATATTCAGATGGAACTTCCTGAGTTTAACTTTGTGCCCATTGCCCCTCAACCTGTCACCGGGCACCACTGAAAGGAGTCTGGCCCCATCCTCTTGACACCCACCCTTAAGGTATTTATAAGTATTGATGAGATCCCCTCTCAGTCTTCTCTTCTCCAGGCTGAACAGACCCAGTTCCCTCAGCCTTTCCTCATAAGAGAGATGCTCCAATCCCCTCATTATCTTTGTTGCCTGCCACTGGACTCTTCCCAGTAGTTCCTTGTCTTTCTTGAGCTGGGGAGACCAGAACTGGACACAGTACTGCAGATGTGGCCTCACCAGGGCAGAGGAGAGGGGGAGGATAACCTCCTTCGACCTGCTGGTCACACTTTTCCTAATGCACCCCAAGATACCATTGGCCTTCTTGGCCACGAGGGCACATTGCTGGCTCATGGTCAACTTGTCCCCCAGCACTCCCAGGTCCTTCTCCTCTGAGCTGCTTTCCCGCAGGTCAACTCCCGGCCTGTACTGGCGCATGGGGTTATTCCTCCCTCGGTGCAGGACCCCACATTTGCCTTTGTTTGTTTTCATTAGGTTCCTCTCTTCCCAACCCTCTAGCCTGTCCAGGTCTCGCTGGATGACAGCGCAGCCTTCTGGTGTACCAGCCCCTCCTCCCAGTTTTGTATCATTAGTTTTGAACTAGTATCTCATGACTCAAGAGAGTGAATGAGGGAACTGAAATTCTTTTGATACCAACAGCCAACAGGGTACATATAAGGTCTGGGCAAGGAAAGGATGAAATTTATTTGTAGCAACAGAACACATGCGAGATGCTCAGCCCCTTTACAGCAGCATAGGCACGATTTAAATGTAGTGTCTCAAGGAAAAAGGATGGAGGTGGAGATATCTCCTGCCAGAAGACAAGAGGTGGAACTGGGCTTACCACTCCTGTTTCCTGCGGGACCATATGACAGAAGCTGCTGAGGATAAGAAAGTAACCTGTCTCCAGCCACAGCTCTCAGTACTTCCTCCTGGCGTACCCCTTCCAGGAAAGCAGGGCCGTAGCAGACATCCTGGCACTTTGGGCATCTGGCAGAAATATTTGCAGGCCATAGTTTTCCCCCATTGCAACACCCCAGAATCTGAAGCCACGTGCAGCTGACTACACCATCTGGTCCCTGATTTGGCCCTTTAAGTGTGTGTGTGTCTACATATAATATATATACACACAGATTGTGTGTGTTTGTGTCCTTCATCTTTGGTGGATCAGCAACCCCTTGGCCAGAACCAAAGAGTTTGTCCCCTCCCAAGAAGAACCCAAGGGTTTACCTAGCAGGACAAAGATGCAGGCGAGGATTGCAATGAGTGCCCCTCTGCTCAGGCTGACAGGGAGGACATAGGCCTCTGCGTTGCAGGACATCACCATGCCATCATCATCGCAGCTGCACACATGCACAGTCAGCGTGCCTGTGCTGCTCAGCACGGGGCGGCCGTTGTCGCTGATCAGGATTGGGAGGTAAAAGGTATTCTGCTCATGTTGTCTGAAGCCAGAGCGCCTTGTCAAAATCCATGCCGTATTGTCTAAGGGTAGAAAGTAAATGGAGAGAAGAGCTTATATGCAGTGCAAATACATTCAGCAGAGAAGGAAGGTTAAAAAAACCAGCCCTAGACCCACATGCATTTGTCTTCTTTCTCTTTTTTTTCTTTGTTTTTTATCGGTTTGTCACTAATCAGCATTTTGCTTCTGCCTCCCCTATTCCAGTATCTTCTTAGGCCATAGCTGCAAACCTGCAAGGCGTACACACCTTAGCAGTTGCATTTACCCCTTCTGACATAAAGTGCCCAGAGCAAACTCACAGCCTTCAGATTTAGCTAAAAGAGCTTTCAGAAGGCAAGCCAGAAAAGAACAGTTGAAGGCAACTTCTAGTCCCTGTTTGTTCATGCTCAGCAGCTTTTCTAGACATCACTCTTAAGTGCTGCCACCATTTTGGAGATGCAGGTGTATAACCCTTGTGGACATGTTAAGGTACTCTTTATGTTTTTTGATACATGGCGTGGTCATCTTCTTGAGGCAACAAGAAGACAAAGGGAAAAAACAGCTTGCTATCCTAAAGCAGCAGTGAGTTGAAAATTTGCAACTAAACATTTTTCAGTGAAATACATGCAATTTCAATGGCACTTTTACCATTGAAAAAAGTCGGAATGCTTCATGTCCTCATTGTCAGAATTAGTCTGCTTTGATTTGACCATTCTGCTCCATTTATTGTGACCGCCTGTTTTTTATAAGAACTTAAATCAAAATGAATCAAAATGATGTGACTGAAATAAAATAGTAAGAGAATGAGCTAACAGCCAGTCACTGTTGGTAATTTCAAGGGAAATTCCTACCTTTGGGGTTTTTCCCTCCATATTCAGCATGTTTTTTAAAATTTCCCAGTGGCATTTGAATTCCTGTCTACCCCCTCCCTCAAATTCCTCAGACCGCACCAAGTTTCCTAATCAGAAAGAAAATGGATTCAGGAATTTGTTGTTCTCAATTCTCAT